CTATTTTAATGTCGCAAACGAGTTAAATTTTACGTTTATTTCACTTTTAATAATTTTTATTTCGCTTGAAAAATTATAGAGTGAAATAAAATAAACAAACAAAGTTTTATCAACGTTTCCAAAATTCGTTATTCTACACACAGAAGATTTAACGACAGTTTTTATATTTTTTCTTGAAAAGTAGTCCGGCAAACATGCATACCACGTGATCAAGTGCCGTAGATCAGTAAAAATATACGGCACCTTGTTATCGGGCCGAAATTGATACAAGTGACAGGATAAACTAAACAATATGGCCGCTTAACGCTTAAATGACGTCACACACAAACATGACGTCATGTGCGTAACGCCAAGATATTGTGCGTAAATTATGCAAAGTTTGGAGAAAATCGCACGGTAAACGTTAAAATGCGACGTCATTATTAACCAGTGACTATTTGTAAAAATGAACAAAAGTGGGCCGGTAATCGCTACATGTGGTTACCGTTAACATGTGATTCATGCCAGAACGGCAATATTTGCTGTATATTTTCAAAATATGTTTGTCTCTATTACTGTATAAGTTTTATTCAGCTAACTTGGAAAATAAGGAAATAGCGACACTTTTCCGCGTATTTATTTAACAGCCCTCGTAGAACAGTTTTATTATTTGTTTGGCTCGTCAAAATTTCAGACCCTGATGTTCTTTTTTGCAAATACCGAAAGTAGTCCAAACTCCTCGAAACAGTTACGTCCCTTCATATGTACATAAACGCCGAAAAATTAAAGGGAGATCACTGTGTAAAGATTGTAAAATGACAGGCGCATTAATTTTCGTAACGAAAAAATAGTTCCCGATTGGTCATTGTGTTATTCTTATAGATATTCATGATTATATTCAGCTCCATGATTATCAACTTCAGTGTTAAACAACATGTTAACCGTGAACAAAATATATCGAAATTAATAAGGGTTACAAACTTTAATTATTCTTTAGGCTTTTATCATATAACTCTCCAAGGTCGAGGGGTTTACACGCTCGCTTTAGAAGCGAGAGGTCCTGAGTACAAATCCCAGTTCAGGCAACTCATGTTTTGTTGTTGTTTTTTTTTTTGTTTGCTTGTTTTTTCTTAATTGATTAAGCCAAATAAACATTGAATTGATATTTCTGTGCTTTGATTTTAAGTACTAGAGGCTATATGTTTACATGTTAAAGCATTCTATCAAACTGGTATCAAAGAGACAAGTCTACACTGAGTAAAACCCTTGTGACTAGAGAGCATATCATATTAGCAGTAAATTCATTAGTTACCCATTACTAAGATTATACCATCTGCTTTTATTGACATCAAAAGTCAATCTGTTTTGTTTCGTAGATAATTTCGTAGGTAATCGGCGTAAGAATCCAAAGGGTCAAGAGATGGAGGCGCATAGGAATTTTAGTTGCCGACGCACGCAGCCAGTGTAGCTGCCATTGGGAACAGATAGACACGGTAGAAAAAAATCAAATCAAATGAAATCAAAATTTATTTATTGTCGGTATATATATATAACATTTTACAAAACATAAGTTAAACATAATTTCCCCTTCTAATTGTTTGGGGTACGGGCCTCTTTTGGGAAATGAAGGTGCAATATGGTGTTTTCCAATGCATTTTGTTGCGTTTTAATTGCATTCAGAATATCTGCCATTAAACTTGAATGTCAGTGTTATCCCCGTCTCTCAAATAGTGTCCATTTTCATCATTAAATGATCCGAAAAACACGTCATGGTATGGAACATAATTAATGCATTTATTCTATCTTGCTCGATGACATTGAAACTTGCATTATGCTTTATTCAATCTTGCTTTATGATATTTAAACTTTGCATTATGCTTGATTCCATTTTGTATTATTTCATTCAAACTTGAGTAGTGACTATAATTCTTTCATGTCAGAGTGATAACTATTCAACTTGCTTATGCCATTTATCGTACTGTTTTGGAATATATAAATATTCACGTCGTAAAACTTTATGTCAAAGCTACCTTTCTCCATGCTCTATACAAACCACTCACGGTTAAATTCATTTTTGTATTACTTTTTTATAAAGTCGTCAACAATCGACTATATTTTATTCCCTACTGCCATTTGTACACCGAAAATTACATGATGGATTTTGGTAAACGTACCTTAAATGATTTATCGCTCGCATTGCGTGGTAACTATTAGCTTTCGCTGATTTTCATTATTCAGTGTTTATGCTAAATAAAATTCAGTGTCTGATGCTTTATGGATCATGTTTGATCATCTGATATTGTATATAAACAATTTAACAATGTCTAGCAATTTTGAAATGTTAAGTATTATCGAGCTCTCATCGGAATTTTCTGTACAGATACTGCGATGACCATACATGTACAACGGTTTTCTCTTTTGAACATAAAAATACGTATCAAGCACTAAAATATATAAACTGCCCCCCCCCCCGTTCAAAAAACGATCAATATCAATTTAGCTTAATAATATTTTATTGCATATATAGATATACATCAATTCATTTACATCAACAAAATTACACAATATACAAAAGGGTTGGGCCAAAAGTTTTTACAAAATTATCGTGGGCCCTTCCCTGTAAATGTTTAACATCAGTTTCATAAAGTAAAGATAGTTATACATTAAAGTAAATATGCATTAAGTAACTATACATTTTTATTTTTAAGATGAACAAAAAAAGATTGAAGAGGAAAGAAAAGAAAAGAAAAAGAAAAGAAATGTTGCTGTATTAGTTGTGTGTCGACACTAAAAACAACCAATTCCCACTATCAATTGTTAAGCAGATACCCATTTGTTTGTACTGAGCAAAAATAACCTAAAGTACTTGTTATAATAATTACAGTAAAAGAAAACAACAATGTAGTAACGTTTTATGTAAACCTCTTTGTTTCTTTGATATAATTTTGAACATGCTGAAATAAGATTTTGTTTTGAAAGTCGTTTAAATTTTCAATGCCAAAGAGTAGCTTTTTAGTTTTTCAATATCAATAGAAAAGATTATGCAATATCATTTTTTATATGTATGTATACAGTCTAATAGAAAAAACATACTTCTGGGGTGATTTAATGGGATACTTATTCAGTGGCTGATTCAGGCTATGGCTTACGGGCTGCACGCCCCCCCCCACCCACAGCTCAGCCAACATATACCTTCATGAGCTGGGCTGGAATATAAACGTGCCAGATTCACGATATGCATTGGATCGGAACAAATGTTTTCCACTGTTGACGGGCTAGGTCCTAGATATTTTAAAGTCATTGTTACCATCACAAAATTAGAATATACATGTATACGGCATTATAGCCTGTTCAAAGACAAAAATGGTGCCAGGATCGATAAAGACGACTATGTCATTAATTCCTCTGAAGTGTAACACTTTTTAGCGACCCATCAAGCAAACAAGAATTTTATAATTATGAAGCATGTTATACATTTAATCATTTCATCATATTTATTTCATACACAAATACGTGCATTTCGATGCTCGTGTTAAAATAAAATTCATATAATATGATAACAAAAATACTCGACATCAAAAGGATTATCTATTTACACGTAAATCTAACATTGGCACTTATGATACGAACATCAGTTTGTCACCAGAAACTAGTTATGGTTATTTTGAAGCTTAATGAAAAAATAAGTAGTTTTAGCGAAATAAATGCACGTTCCAAATTCAAGTAATCTGTTTTTAAAAAAACATGAATGTAGAGGAATTTGTTTTAGTTTCGGAGGTGAATTAAGGTCTAATTATCATTGTTCATTTTATAAGAAATGACACGTTGACTAAGCCTTTCATTTAATAAAATCAAATTAAATAAAATAATAATAAAATCAAAGTGGTGAAAGCACTCTATCCGTCGGACAAGAAAAGTGAATTCCGCAAATGGTGTCACAAAGTGCCAGACATCAGACATTTTGCACTAAAATTTCTATATTTACAAATGGCAATAAAAATTCTTTTACAGAGTTTTATGGGGCTTGGATAGAGGCCTCCAATTATGATCTCAAGACATGTATTAGGTTTCATGTAAATGTTAACAGTTTTCGTTCGCATGTCTTAAAAGTTTCAATTGAATAACACCAGTACATACATGTCGGTCTGAAGATTAGTGTTGCTTGGAAAACTTTTACCAAGAATTTTCACAAAGTCTAAATCTATGTTAGATTCACGGGGTTCAGAGTGTGACCCCCAGTTATGATCTACAAAACATATACATTTATGTTTGGTTTCAAATTAATGCAATCACTTGTTCTGAGAATGGATGCTACACAATAAGGCTTGAAGGCTTAAAGGACTTCACTGAGGTTAATTGACATGTCGGGACTGGAAATCATTTTTTGAGATTAATGTTCCAATAGATGTAGGTTTAGCTCAATAATATGTATGCAAACTTTAAGATCATTCGCTCACTCTGTTTGCCCAGAATAATTAGTTGTAGTGAAATAAGTAGTTGCAAATGTTCCTTCGCACGGATGAACCTTCAGCATAGTTGAAACAATGTTATGAGTATACATATAAATAATATTTACGATATAATCTAAAACTATAATCATTGAGAAATATAAACATGCATAGAGCTTTTAGGTCGGAATGTCGTACACTTCCTAAAAAAGACACGAACAGCAATGTCGATATTGTCTTGTCAGGATTATATGGTTACTCAATAATTGTCTTTACAGAGAAATAAGACTTAAATAAACCACGATATATGGTATTTTAATCTTACCTAGACATATATTGTTTTGTTTAACTATAATTTTTAACTCGTATAAAAATTGCGAACCTGTGAAATCTAGTTAATACTGTAGGATATTTTTCTTAGCAATGACAATATTTGTTCTCTCAAATGCTTATCATTTATGAAAGTCGCTTTTATTGTCTTTTTTTTACATAAAAATAAGGAAGGAAACAATTAGTTGCGTTTCACTCCTAATACCTGATTATTAGTAATTTTATAGGCCGTGCACTTCTTACGCTACACAATTTTAATGAAATCGAAACAAGAAGGTATGAATTTATTTTTCTAGATTTGTTTTCCGATGTTTTAAATCTTTTACACTTAACTGGATAAAGATTTTAGCAAAGCAGACGACACTTCAGTATGATAGTGTTAATATATAGACAATTTCTCTGTATTGATATGTGTAATTGTTATTTTCATAAACATACAAGGAATAATTTTCTCATTTAATATGTACATTCATGGGCTAGAGTCTCTAAATTATTTCATGTATCTGTAAGAAATAAACTTGACATAATTATGCACACACATATTTAAGTGTGATATAAATTTTTCTTATTTCTAGATTTGATTTTGAAATAGAGAAATAGAATAAATTCTCTTCAGCAAGTTGAAACACGGACAGTGAATGAGACCTCATAATTAATTCTATGTAATTGAAAATTATCCGAAATGTTATGCGTAAATATTATTTAATCATTAGGCCTTTAAAAGAACAAACAAAATGTGTGCTTGCAACTTATTTGGGTTACTTATAAGGAGAAATATAAGATAAGAAATGAAATAATTTAGTGCCTCATTACCCTTTACACCGTATTACGATCACGTGATTTGAGATAACATAAATAAGAATGCATTAAATTACTAAACATAAATAAGGGTGTATCAGGTTACTAAGTCATTTTTTTAAAGCCGTATTTAATGTCATTCGATAAACAACTAAATATTGTACAGTTCAGCTTTCAAGAAAGATATAGACTTAGAATAGATAACAAAATATTTATTTCAGAATGGCAGACGGAAGTAATTTTCAGTCGTTAAAAGACGGTTCTGATGCAGATTTTGAATTCACGTTTACACCTTGCAGCAAAGACAATATAAGAGAAGAGGCTGACAAGTATTGCCCTGAGTGTCACGAATATTTGTGTAAAACATGTACAAGATACCATAGTCGACTCAAGGCTTCACAGCAACATAAACTGCTGGATAAAAGCGATGCTAAACAAGGTGTTGTTGTTTCCAGGATTAAATGTCTTTTCCATCAAGACCGAGAAATTGAAATGTACTGCCTTTCACATGATATGGTGTACTGCCTCCTGTGTATTGCAACAGAACATAGGTAATGATTCTAGTATATATAATTGGAAAACATTTTAGTTACTTTATTTTATAACGTTTTGTTAATTGAATGGTTGATTAAGTTCCACTGTAAATAAGATAAAGTATAGCCTCCAGTTTAATCATATACAGCATATTTCAAGAACATTAAGGGACCAAAAATACTTCCGGTAAAATTTTGAATTGTGAACGCACATAGGAATATGAAAATTATTTTTAAAGAATGTTGATAGATTAAATGCATTCTGCTCATTGTAAGAAAATCAAAATGGAAAAGTTATTCACTGAAAGGTTTTACAGCAAAGGCACTGTATACTGTCAATATATTAACATAAATATTTATTCGTTATAAAGCATGCTAGAAGCTTGGACGGTAGCTTGCAATACCACTACATGAACAGGCCCAATCACACCGACCCTTTTCAGTTTTGCCGTTTTGGGCGGTCTTTAGAGATTCTGTTTTTGCTCTTTTTTGAATCAAAATTGCATATTAAATTGTACCTTAATTACAAATTGTAGGTCTTGTGACGAAGTAAACAAAATTGAAGATGTGTCAAAACAATGTGTCACTCAAGCGGAGATTCAATCGCTATTAGATGGGACACAAACTGTACAAGACAAGATGAAGTCACTTACAGTTAAACAGAAACAAAATGTAACTGCAATAGAGAAAGAGAAGGAGGCTATTGAAGGGAAACTAGATGATACAGTGACAAAACTTATCGAACATATTAGAAAATTGAAAAGAGAGACAACAAAATGTTTAAATGATAAATATTCTACATTGAAGGAGGAACTCGTGTCTGCTATCAGTGTATCAGGTCGCACAGCTGAAGATTTAAAACAAACTAAGGAACAACTGCATACAATTGACAGTCTGGACCTAGAGCAGCAATTTGTCCGGATGAAGTTGATGAAGAAGACAAGCCAAGATGCAAACACTTTTATAACAGAAGGTGAGGCAGAAGGTACAAAATTTATCGATTTTACTGTAAATAAAGAGCTGACGGACATCATCGCAAAAGCAAATTCTATAGGTGACGTGACAACTGGAATTGTCGGTGAGCAGAAATTGAAACAGAGGCAGTACACAATAAAGTCAACGAAAGTGATCAATGTGAAGCTGAGTAATGACAAACAGGGATGTTGCATATCTGATATATGTAGACTTCCTGATGATACGATCCTTCTGACTGATTTTAACAATAACAATATAAAAAGACTCAACACTAATGATAGTGTACAAAACGTCTATGATTTTGATGCTTGGCCTACAGGTATATGCTGTGTTAGTAACAGTGAAATGGCTGTGAAATTTAACAACAATAAAATACAACTTTTTACCGTTTGCTCATCTCTGTCCAAAGGAAGGACTATAAATATAAACAACGGTGGATTTTTTGGATTAGCAATATGTTGTGGTGATCTATGGTCATCAACACAAAATGGTGTTAACGTATACAGTACATCATCAAATCTTGTTAAATCTATCGTCAATGATCAAAACGGGAAGTCTATATTTAAATCCAATGTTCAGCATATGTCTGTCACTTCTGGCACAGTGATTGTAACAGATGGCTCTGATGGAGCTGTTTGTCTTAACAAAGATGGTACGGTCATTAGAGAGCTGAGAGACAGAAGATTGAAGAATACTCGAGGTGTATGTGTAGCTGATGATGGAACGATATTTCTATGTGCATATCAATCTAACAACATCGTTATGTTCAACAGGGATGGGAATTGTCTCGGAGAACTGATCGGGAAAGATTTTGGCTTAAAAACACCAATCAGTATGTTCTTCGATGGGAGAAGAAATAGCTTAATTGTTGGATGTGGCAGCACAAACACTTTATTCGTAATTGAATTTGATTGCTAAAAAATTTCATTACTTTCAACTCCAACTGATAATAAAAGAAAACGTTGATAGAATTCTAACAATTGTTGATAGAATTCTGATATCAATTAACTGTCTTAATAAATAACTCTTCTCAGTTGTTTGGCTATAATTGCTAAATAAGTATCAATGCTGTAAAGTATTTGATTGACATAGATAGCGTCAATTATGTTAACTCTTATAAGAAAAACAATGCGAATTATTTAAAATGCTATTTATATGCACCATGGTTTTATTCTTTTGATGACATGTATTAGTACTAATTGCTGTATAGAAAATAATAAATACGAGTACACATTTAAAATATTATAAATTTCTTTGAAGCGTCAATATTTTATTGTTCTATGAACAAGATAGAATGCTTGTCAATTAAATATTATATGATACAAGCTCTTGTTAAAATTATGTGATTTGTTTCAATTAAATTAAAAAAAAAATAGAACTCTGTAATGGATATATTTTGCTAAATATTTGAAGGTGATACAAAACGAACATTTATTTTTGTTAAACGTTTTAGGCTTTAAATGAACATGTATCAAATAACACATGTGCATATTCGGATTGATTTTTTGTGATGAATGTAAGAAAATTTTAATAATCATCATGTTTTAAATAGATTGTTAATATGTTCGAATGTTGGAACATTTCTGTAGATTCGTTAATATTCACGAAAAAAATAATATAATTTATACATTCTTGTTACTTACATGCTATAGACTTAGTTACCATTTTTTAAATTCCAAGAAAAATACTTGTACAACTCGTATTTGACAAGAATTATCATGAGTAATAATCAAGTAATGAATGAAATCAAGAACAACAATAATTACAATTAACGTACATGTATCAACTATTTAAAGTAAAATGTGTCACGCCTACGTATTATGTAGTAATGATTATATGCTATCTGAATCATATGGATATAAATTATATGTATACAATTTTATGTTAAATAAAGTATATGTATGTATGCGTGCGTGCGTGCATGCGTGTGTGTGTGTGTGCTAAACGAAGTGGTTTTCATTATTTTCTTGATAAGGAATCGTTATACGTTCGTTTTACAGTCCAAACAAACAGTGATCTTTCTTGAAATAAAAAAAAATCATAAAAAGCCGTGATCGAGAATCAAACTCAGATCATCACTATACTGGCAACAGAGATATGCACTGTGCCATGGAGGCATTTGAATTTTACGAATTTGAAAAATGACATATAGGTGTATTTAAATTTCTTCTTGATTTCAAGTGACGAATAAAAATAAATCTCTATATATCATATTTTTTTACATTGTTTTTGTATAGTTAAATATTTTGAGCTTCAATAAAATATAAATATGTCGAAACATTTTTTTAAACAAAATAGATAGTTAAAACAAACGGATTTCTCCGATATATATGACAATATTAATTCTATTTCGGAACAGCATTTGAGTGACCTTCAAATTTATCTAGTAGGCCGTTAAGGTGAAAACAAACAAGAGAGTTATCATGGACATTAATCGCTCACCTATATGCCATAAAGTTATAATTTATTTGATGTAGAAGCAGATGAATAGTTCACATTCAAGGTCACCCAGACTAACAATAGGCACTTCAAGCACTGAAAGAGTTTCACTTCGCAATACATTTGTCAAATATCAAAGGTCTTGGCCTTGTGAATTCCAAGGAGAACGTGTATCTTTTCAATGTAACAATTTAGTAGTGCACAATGTGCAACATCATTCTTTTTACTCCAGGGTCATGATTTATTCATTTTTGTAGAGGTCCACTAGACAATGCTAACCATTTAAAGGAACATTTTTTCTGCGTCTGAAAATAATAATAAAAAAAACAAAAAACAAAAAAAAACAATAACTGACTTTATTTCCAAATGAATTGACAAAATGGTATGACATTTTATGTATGTAATTAAAACTGATGTTTTGCTGGTGAAATAAATTCTATATAATGCACATTTTTGTATTGTAAATATTTTCAAGTTGGTATACACGTCTGTTATCAAAGCAGAATACTATTAAGATGAGAATGTATAACAAGCAACCCGAATTCATTCAATTTGCTACTTCTTCTTACTTTCACTTTCAAATACTGTATTATATTTGTATGACGTCAAGAACAGGAAGGGAGAAAAAAGTATAATTTAATGGGAAAAATCTGGACGACATTGGGCAGGCAATAAAATCGTTCCACCAATGTACTCATTAAATTTAGTTCCATCATTGTACTCGTCTTTTTAAAAAAAAAGATGTTATGCAACTTTACGAATGATGGAAATTGTTCATGATACACAAATTTACAATTGTGTGCAAGATGTTATTGCCAATTTTGCTTCTCAAAATGCATTTCATTCACTGAAAGTACCTGTTTTCCCATTGTATTCAACACCAAAAACAACTTTTTTCGACTTTCAAGGTTAAACAGAGAGGCAATACCATAAGTAACAGTATGAGGTTTTTATACAGGGGTTCCGTGCAGCCTCGTTTTATATACAAATTTAACGTTAACTGTTTGCTTACCAAAATTTTACCGTTTTTACCGAATTCTAGCCCGCCATTTTATGAGTCAATTGTACGATTTCGGTCACGTGGTCATCAGCAGTGTAGCTTATAACAACATTTGCTGGTATTGATGTTTCCATTTGAAACAAAAGTGAAAAGGCACAAGAGAGAAATGTGCAGTTTTTTTGTTTGCTGATTTCTAATATAAAAAATATGAAATTGCGATAAAACAGTTATAAATTGTAAAACTCGTTAGTTACGAGGGTATAACACTGGCTGGGGCGATAACACCATCGATGTCGCCCCAGCCAGTGTTATATTCTCGTAATACTTTAACTATTACATAACAAAAATGATACATAAAAATCATTGCAATATTAGCAAAGCAGTTGAAATTCTCCCCAGGTCAGACGGAAAATGTCGCATAAAATATGAGATATCTTTTCCAACAGCGGTAACGTTAG